AAATAATTATACCTAAAAACACTCAACATAAAAAATGCACTGTTGTGCAATATTAACATGAGATAACTGTAAAGATTTCACGATAATGAAAAATAACATAAAAATCATGTTATGTTATCAGCTGTAAAGTTATAAAACATAAAGTTAATGTTGACTAAATATTTTATTTACTTTATTTTGTGCAACTGATCTGCATATTTCTTTCATTTTAATCCAACAGGTTATTTTTTTAATATACAGCCTAGAAGTTTATGCTCTTGTTTAAGTTTCTATTGCTTCATTAATCTGCCCCAATACTACAGGGTTCTATAGTATTAAAAATGGTCTTAAGTTACTTTTTGAAATATGATTTTTCTATTAATAAAACAAATGATTTCAGCCAGTAAGTGAGCATTGCACACATATGAATGCACGTTTCCAAGCTAGCAGTAGCAGTTAAATTACCACTCCACAATCTTGTTACAAATATAGCTTCTGCCTCAAACTAATATGGTAGTTAGTCAACTGCACTTGAGCTTCAGGGTATAAACTGATAGCTGGTCAGTCTTCTTCAGCATTTTTGTATAGTCAGCAGCATGTGAGTTTAGACTCTTTTGGGGGGCTGCTCAAGCACTCCTGAATTTTATCACAGCACTCTTACAAATAACTGCAGTAGCTGCAGTAGTACTAATGCATTTTAGTAAAATGTTCTAACATTGTCTTCTAATCGCCTAAATAAAAATCATAGAGAGGAATCAAGAGGTAATTTTATGACACAAATCAGTAATCCTGATTTAAAACACTTTAACTTAAACATAGAAAACAAGCAGACTGCTCTGATAATGCAGGGACGTGGCTGTGACTTGCAAAATGTCTGCTTATTTTTATTTGTTCTTTAAATAGTGTCAACAATGTTAACAAATGTAGCCTAAATCACTAGAGATTATTAGCTAAATTTAGTTTTCTGAGCCATTAGTCTGCTGGCATATCTCTAATTGCAAGTAAAGGAACTACTTTATATTTTTTCAGTTTGTTAAACATTTCAATTTCTATTCCGGTAAAATTGGGCTTCAGTGTTTATTAAACAATTCAAAAATAGGACAAGATGGTAATAATACCATAAACTCTGAAGTTTTTCTGCACAAGATTACTGTTCAGTGAGTCGCCAGCAGGTATTAGGGACACATCATCTGTTGTGATCTTTAGCATCACCGTTCCAGTACAGCTCCAGTTCCAAGTAACAAGTCGAAAGGATGTTACCTGTCAATGTCCAGCAGCAGTCTGTATTCATTTCAAATATTGCTATAAATTGATCTGAATTAGTTTGTGCCTTCTATAAGTTTGTAAATTCTGTATCACTGTTACATTTAACATTTGCGTCTAAGCACAAAGTCTGAGAGAGGAGGACAGAGAGGGAGAGAGCAGGATGAAGACAGCACGTAGAAAAGGTCAGTAAACAGCTCCAGCTCAGTCAGATTAATGGACAGCGTTTGTGAACAGCAGTTTTCAGATCTTGCCACAGATTCTTGATTGGATTTAGATCTGGACTTTGGGGCATTCTAACACATGGATATGTTTTGTTTTAAACCATTCCATTGTTGCCCTGGCTTTATGTTTAGGGTCGTTGTCCTGCTGGAAGGTGAACCTCCGCCCCAGTCTCAAGTCTTTTGCAGACTCCAAGAGGTTTTTTTTTTCTTCCAAGATTGCCCTGTATTTGGCTCCATCCATCTTCCCATCAACTCTGACCAGCTTCCCTGTCCCTGCTGAAGAGAAGTACCCCCAGAGCATGATGCTGCCACCACCATATTTGACAGTGGGGATGGTGTG